TGAAAACAGTTTACAAACATTAAGTTAGTGTTTGTACAAACAGGTGGCTGGGTATGGACGCTTGGTGAAGATGTTCTCCACATAATTTCCTCTGATCAAGAACTGATCTGAAATCAAGGATTTGAGAGATTCAATTGCTGGTTTCCTGCACAATCCCACTCCTATTCCTCTACCCAGTCATCAGGCTCTACTTCCTTTCTGAAGACACAAGACAGCAGGTGACTTACCTAAGTAAAAAAAAAACGCTCTTTGTATTCACAGAGCCTGTAGAGGTGGCTTGAGGGCAACTGACTCAAGTGAGAACTGATGAACTGTCCTGAATTCAGTGATATCATAAATTTGACAACTATAAGACTTCTGTGCAGAATTAAGATTTCAAAAGGTTTTGCCACTGTACATAAGTGTTCAAATACAGAAGCATATGGGGTAGTTTTAATCCACATAAACTCTAAAATGGAATGCCTGAAGAAAGGGGATCTTGGGCCCTCATCTTACACAACATAAGGCACTATCACTTCTGTACCATATGGAGAAAACTTCAGTTCACATAAATCAGTGCTAATCTGTGACATGTGAATATTCCTTACCCTACACTTTAAGGTTATCATATGGGGAGTCATACTTCCAGGCACCTGGAGACTGTTTAAGTGAAAGCCATATATAATATTTACTCCCTGACATGTGCTATTATACATGCTACATGATAGTCAAAAACAATGAGTCAAGGAAACCATTCATTCTAACATCTCTGCCTCTTCCTGCTTCATCCTGTAGATATATATATATATTTCAGATACAGCTTATTTTATATGGTCCTGAATAACAAAACCTAGAGCTCTGATGCAGCTGTTGGAGAAGTATGGCAAAGCTGCGGCATGATCCCAACCAGCACTGGCTTCTATCAGAAACACTTTCTCCAAAAATGTCTCACATGACATCTCATTGTCATAAATACTTCACTCTCTCTTGAAAATCTCTATTGCAGTTGCCAATAAGGATTTAAATGCTGCTGGAAGAAAGAGTCATCAAAAGTGACACAACTTTGAATGACTGACATCAAGTGAGAGGGAAAGAAATCACAGCCATGTTTCTGTGCATTACTCACCAAATGTTGCTCTTCATTAGATGGGTGTGCCCAGCACTGGGCATGTTGGCAGATGCATACCAGCACTGTCTGGCATGCCTACGGGTGCTATTATACACTGATGAGCGATGAAACACAATTTCCTTGAAGGGACTCTTTATAGTTTGGTACTGTAGTTATAATCCCTAAATTTTCTGCTTTCTAGTTTGATTTTTAGTATTTCTAAATAGCAGGCATCTCTCTTTTTAACCAGAAATATGTGACAGATGCACTTGGAACATTTATTTAGACAGACAAACAAATAAGTAAACAAAAAAATCCAAACATGTCCAGACCCTCATCTGTAACATCTTACTGAATCAGACGCCCTGGGGTGGAACTTGCATGTGAATTTTGAAAAATTCACTGATTACGAAATACTTTCCTGGTTAAGAACAACCATTCTAGATTATTTTTATAGACAAATGACTATGTCACATACATGTGCCTACACAGACTGATGTAATTCTATTTTGTCCCTTATGGTATTTTTCTAAATATTCTCCTTTGCAATCCAATTCTTTACTCTGAATTTGTTTGTTTGTTTGTTTGCTCTGGTATTTGTTTTTGAGACAGGGTCTTGCCGTTACCCAGGTTGGTCTTGAACTCATGTGTTCAAGTGATCCTCTCATCTCAGCTTCCGGAATCACCAGGACTATACAGCACCACACCCAGCTCTTTCCTTTGAATTTCTTCTTTTAAATTGCCAAAGAGCTTTTCAGAGTCAGGAAATTGGCCTATAAAAATTTTATGCTAAGTCAGTGTGTTGGCACTGTTCAGTGTTGAGACCAAGTGGCAACTCCGTCCAGAACAATTCCATTTTAACATTCAGTCATTTAGTAAATATGTATTCAGTAAAGTGTGTGTGTGATGGTAAAGGCGAAGAAAAAAGGAGGAGGAATGAGGCATGGCCATCGTGCTCTTCAGTGAACACTTATGATAAAACTGGTAGCAATGATAGCCAGGTTAAGAACAGTTAAGAAATCACATAATTGCATATGATTCAATATTAAAGCATTACTTGCAATAAGTGCTCACAGGAGTCAGGAGAACTATTACTTACTCTAGACCCAGCAGTCAGGCCACCCTTCAGAAAGGGCCTGACAATTGAGAAATGGGTAGGGGATAAATGGGTGGGGCAGAGGAAGTGGGTGCTCTATGCTAGGAACACTGCAAACTGAGGCAGGAGTGAACGCACCACATATAGTGAAAACACAGCCTTCTCTGGAAGAAGAGGTCACTGGAGTGATTAACATCAAACATACAAAGACCAGAATCTGATTATCAGCTAAGGAGCCTAATATTTATCCTAGAGTTATAAGATAATCATCAAGGTTTTAAAGCAGCAGAACATGGGGATAGTAGTATTTTAGGACACTATGGGTGGAGGGTAGCAAACAAATGCCTATGAGTTTGAGGGATAATAAGGAAACCTATGGGAGCTATCAGGATCTGTGCTATAGTGATGGATTTACAAAGAATTAATGGAACCCGGTGGCACATTGATTTCAGTTTCTAGCCTGTTTGTTATGAAACACAGGCATACAGACAATGCAAGAAGAATAGAAATATATCAGAGTTGCAGAATGATGCCTTAGAAGAAATATCTTCCCTGAACACGTGGCTCTAGAAGAAGATGGTTATAGTAAATAATTTCTACACAGAGAATAGAAGGTAGAGTAAGAAGCTCAAGAGAGGCTGAATCTAGAGAAGCAGCACATCAAAGATCACAGGAGAAAAACAGACTAATTCAAACAAGAGTCCTTGGAAAGAGAAGAACCTACTGGCAACCCAGAAGCCAAAGAAAAAGAGAACGACAGAAGAAGAGCTCATCAATACCATCTCATGCAACACAGCAATCAAAGGCCACTGGCGTTGACCAAGTAATCCCAGCAACCCCCACATGTCTCCAAACCATAGTACTTTTTTTTTTTAATCTTCATTATTGAATGTTGATACCAATCACTTAACACACATATAAAATTATTGTTGATTTTTAATTTTTTTAGTTGTAGATGGACATAATCTCTTTATTTATTTTTATGTGGTGTTTAGGATTGAACCCAGTGCCTCACACAAGTGAGGCAGGTGCTCTACCACTGAGCTATTGCCCTGGTCCCATATATAATTATTTTTAAATATCTATCATCAACTCATAAGATTTTTGGCTTATCTTTTTGACACAGAGATAATAAACTTCTCGGGGGAAGAGATCACAGTGTGCACTTTATATACTGCCTCCTCCCTACCATTGTGCCTCCACATTACCATGCCTCCAGCAATCATTTTGAAATATTTTTAATTGAATGTGACTATGACTGTCCTTTTGATTGGGATACATCGGTCAGGAACAGTTACAGTCAGGAAAGAGACACAGACATGAGACCACTGTTGGCCTTTCCTATTCAAATGTGGTCCACTGGACCAGCATCATCAGCATCAACTGCAAACTGGTTATAAATTCAGAATCTCAGATGCCATTCCAGACCAAGTAAATCAGAATCTAACAAGATCCCCAGATGACTGGTGCCTATGTACACTCATATTTGGAATAAAAAAAAAAAAAACCTGCTATAAAGACAGCATATAAGGGGTAGAACTAAGTTACCGAAGAAGTTATTTGGAGGACGAGAAGAGGGCCCATGACTTTGAGCATGTGGGTATACACCAAGGCCTAACTTCACTGCTCCTCAGACCCATGGCTCAGTGAGGGAGCCCAGGCCTTTGACATACGCAGCAGGACCAGGTCAGGAAGCAAATCCAGCTTTTGATCATGAGCCCAGATGCAATAAATCCTTCCATAAATTACTGCTCAGTTTAATTATAGGAAGGGTTTTGCAGATTGTATCAGCTTGGTTGTTTTTCTATATTTTATAAATATTCTGACCTCTAAATATCCTATTTAGGATCTACGTATTTACCCAGGCTTAGGAATTCTGATTCTCAATAATTCTCCTATAATGTTAAGTTTCCCTCTAGATCTTAGATTGCAGTTGCTAAAATACTTTTTATGCTCTCAACCTAAAAATGCAACTCTCACCCCAAATGGAAAGGGTCTAAAATTAAGATTCTTATACTGACAGCTCTATTGTTAAATGAACAGGTATCAGGAAAAAGCTCCCTAAAGAAAGAATTATTGGACAAAGGAATAGTCATATTCTAAAAGGTGAAGACCAAATGGGGTGCTGGCTTCCAAGGCAGTTTCCCTTTATTGGGGATGTGCTCAATGCTTCAGTATTTCTTCCTCTGATTACTGAATATCACCATTTGAAGATATCACTATGCTAGAAGAGTTCTATGTGGTCTTATTATTTCTAACAGCTCTACTGACACATAATTTATACACCATGAAGTTCACATTTCAGAAATGGATGAGATTCTCATTCCGTCCCCTACCTTCAAGCAATGCTTCATTAAACTCACCCAGGAACAGAACATAGCCATTTCTTAAATCTTCAGCAATGTAGGACATTGTTATAACTCTCTGATAATATATTCTAATATCTCAGTTTTTATCAGTGGAAACATGCCTTGACCAAATCCCTTTTTTAAAATTCAAACTCTCAGCTTCCATAAAAGTAATGACTTGTAATACAATATTTTAAAGATGTCTGGTTTAAAATACCATGGTAGGCCCTTGCAATCTAAATTATTTTGCAGGAACTCCATTAGGAAGTGAACTTATTTACTGTGTTCAAAGCAGAAATCTCAAATCTTACAAGCAAGTGTCCCCCATTTTTCCTGAACTACTTTCCACCAGATGACATGCTTTCTAAGGGCTGCTGGATCCTGCATGTGTCTGTTATTCTTTACCTGTGGGATAGCATGAAGACAGAGGCAGGTTTCTCTTTCAAGAAAAAAAAAAAAAGCTACTCACATGCTTTCACAGAATCTCGTCAGGGTGCTGGGCTTCTCCTGATTGCGCCGCTGTCGAAACCAGCGCTGAATGCTTCGCACATCCCAGTCCAGTTGCTTGGAGAGGCCCTCCAGTCTCTTCTCATCAGGATGCTATAAAACAAGTTGCCAGAAAAATTATTTTCAATACACTTTCACTTTCACCTTAAAACAGATCTGACCTTGTGCATGTTTGGGTTTTTGATTGTTTCCCTGTTTATACCTGCTACTGAGATTTCTGTATTTACCACTGAGCATCTAGGCCTTCCATTAGCAGAATGAACAGAAATAACCACAAGGCTACTCATTATGAAATAAGATGGGAAAATATGAATCTTGTTCTGATGCTTGCACTTCTCCTTATCAGCAATGCACTTTGTTAGAGGCATCTCAGACTGGATGAACAGCCAATCGGCTGAGTCCGCTCCATCAGCCTTCAAGGAAAGGGAGTCCAGTGCAGAACTTGCCAAGAGGCACCATTTGAATATTTCACTTTCTTGGGGGCTGGGGGGAAAGTTGTGCATACCTATTGCATATCTGGATAATGTAGGACAAACAAAAAGCACGGGAAAAAAAATCCCCAAATGCCTACTGTCCCATTTCTACTATCAAACATGTTCTCCCTCCCCACTCCTTCCCAATTCTTCACACATTCCTCTTCTACTCATTTTCTTGGTCATTCCTTTTGACCACGAATCCCACATCAAGTCTTTTTCTAATACTATGCATTACCTGAAGAAGTAAAATAGGTGGAGAGGACAGAGCTGGCCCTGAAATGACAGATATATAGGTTCAATTCCTCAACTGCATTCACTTCTCTGAGCTTCTGTTTCCTCATCTATAGAAGTAAGGGTTGAGGACAGGGGCTGTAGCTCAGTGGTAGAACACTTGCCTATCATGCACAAGTCCCTGGATTCAATCCCCGGCACTGTTAATAATAATTAATAATAATAATAATAATAATAATAATAATAATAATAGCAGCTTATCAACCTGAATGTGATTATGATAAGAACTAAATGTGAAAATGTTTGTAAAATTAGTTTTTTCTTCTTTCTCATCTCTCTTCAATGTTAGAGAACATCCTGCCAACAATCACGTGAGTGTGCCCTGCTATTCAACAAAAGAAGGCCAAGTGAGTTCTATTTCTCTATTCTATTTTTGCTTTGATATTCACGGTCAGAGAAAATAATCAAAAGGGGAGGAGGAGCCAGGTGTAGTGGAGGACGCCTGTAATCCCAGCAGCTTGGAAGGCTGAGACAGGAGAATCGCAAGTTCAAAACCAGCCTCAGCAATGGAGAGGTGCTAAACAACTCGTGAGACCTTGTCTCTAAATAAAATACAAAATACTGCTGGAGAGGTGGCTCAGTGGTTGAGTGTCCCTGAGTTTATTCCCCAGTACCAAAAAAAAAAAAAAAAAAAAAAAAAGGGCAGGGGGAGGCAGGATGGCCATCCCTCAAGTTTTATGTGTGTAATATACACATAACACCTTTTTTTTCTCATGGTTGGCATTTTTTAAAACTTTTACTTATTTTTTATTTATATATGACAGCAGAATGCATTACAACTCTTATTACATATATAGAGCACAATTTTTCATATCTCTGGTTGTATACATAGTATATTCACACCAATTTGTGTCTTCATACATGTACTTTGGATAGTAATGATCATCACATTCCACCTCTGCCCCATCTAGAGTTCATCTATTCCTCCCATGCTTCCGCTCCCTATCCCCCTATGAATCAGCCTCCTTATGTTAAAGAAAACATTCGGCATTTGTTTTTTGGGGGATTGGCTAACTTCACTTAGCATTATCTTCTCTAACTCCATCCATTTACCTGCAAATATCATGATTTTATTCTCCTTTATTGCTGAGTAATATTCCATTGTGTATATATATGCCACATTTTTTTTAACCATTCATCTATTGAAGTGCATCTAGATGGGCTTCACAGTTTAGCTATTGTGAACTGTGCTGCTATAAACATTGATGTGGCTGTGTTCCTGTAGTATGGTGTTAAAATCATATGATCATCTCAATAGACATAGAAAAAGCATTTGACAAAATACAGCACTCCTTTATGTTCAAAACATACAACATCTTTCTAAAAGCATCTCAAGCAACTCAAGGGGTTTGGTTACCCCACAAAGTTAACCTATTGAAACCCTAATCTCCAACGTGATTGTATTAAGAAGTGGAGCCTTTGAACGATTAGTACACTTAAAAGAAAAGACACCAGAGTGCTTACCCACATGCATGTGCTCTCTCTGTCTCTGTCCCTCCCTCCACCTCCTCCCCTGGCCTCCCAACTCTTGCTATATGAGGAAGTGGGCTTTCATCAAGAACTGGACCATGCTGGCACCCAGAGCTTAGACCTTCACTCTCCAGAGCTGTGAGGAATAAATAAATGTTGCTTAAGCCATCTAGTCTGTGGTATTCTGTTGTGGCCTCGTGAGCTGATTAAAGTAGTCAAGACACCCAGAAAACACACCTAGTGGACTCAGGGTACAAAATATGCTGACCTGTACCTATAAATGTTATTTGCCAACTTTCCACTGGCATACGCCTGAGCCCTTTCTCATAGTAATGACACCACCCACATTCTCATGTCTCCCCTAATAAAAAATATTGAAGGGAAAAGAAAAACAAAAACAAAAATGCCTACAACACACCTTGGCTATAACATTTCCCTAAATAAACTAATTTTTAATTTCAATTTATTTTCTAATTTATTAATAGAAACAATATTCCTATGGCTCACAAATTTTAAATTGTCCAAAGTTTTACCTTTGTTCCTGTTCTTCAAATCTCTCCTTTCCCTTCTTTAAAAGGCAACCATAGTTATTAAATCAGTTTCTTTCCAGTTATTTTACATAAGTAAAAGCAAAATTGAATGCGCCTGGTCACACAAATGGTCACACTGTGGACTTTGTTCTAGACTTCGTGTTTTCCACTTTACAAATATTTCCATATCAGTGTACAGAAATGCTCTTATTCTTTTGTAGAATGGTAGAGATGTACTATAATTTACTTACCCATTCTGCTGTGAACAGACATTTAAGTAGCATCCAAACTTCTGCTACAATCCATGCTAAGGTAAATAAGCTTGCCATGAGCCATTTTGTACAGGTTTATCTGTGGGATCTCTTCCTCAAAGTGAAAGTTGTTGATCAAATGCATCTGTGTTTTGGTATCTTATTTCCCTATTAAGAAAGTACTCTCACTGGAGATTTTATCAACTTATACTCTCACAAGCAGGAGTATCCATTTCCTAAGTCTCTTTAAGAGAATAAGATGTCAAGTTTCTTTATTTTTTCAGCCTGATATATTAAAAATAGTATCTTGGTATATCTTTGATTTTCCTCCCTTTATGAGATAAGCATCTTTACATACATTTTAAAAATCACCTGCATTTCACTTTTTCCTAAAGAGTATGGTCATGTCTTATTGCTTATTTTTTTTTTTAATCTGTTGGGATTTTCTTCATTGATTTGTAGGATTTCTTCATTTATTAGGGTGGTTGCACTCTTTTCTGTACTGTAAGTTGCATGTTTTTTTTTTTTAACCATTATGTCATTTGTGTTTTAAAATTTGCTGATGTGCTGTTTGCTTGTTTTTTTATTTGTAGATGGTTGCTAAATGCAATAGTTTCTAAATTCCAAATGTTATTAAAACTCTCCCACGTTTTCATCTAATACACTCAAGGTTTTGATGCATTGGCATTTTTACTGCATTTAGAAGATATGCTGCCATTCAGTGTGAGTTATAAATCTAACTTTATTTCTTTCCAAATGTCCACCCTAAATCCCAATATCATCACTCCTCTTTTCCCCACAGAGTAATCAATCTACTCCTTCACTGTCTATGTGCCAGTCATATGCAGTCAGTTTTCTCAGAAGTCTTTGCTTATTTTTCTGTGTGAGTTTTAGAATTAACTTGTCTATTTTCAAAATGAACAAGTGGTCAAACAAACAAACTTGTTTTTATTTTAAATAAGATCATACCAATTTCTTAAATTAACATAGGGTGAAATAACATTATCATTCAATTTGTTTTTTGTGTCCATCAGGAAGTTTGAAAACTTTCCTCATACAAGTCTTACACATACTTTGTTCTTTATTCCTGTGGATTTTTTTTTTTGCTTGTTTCTATTGTAAATAAGTTGCTTTTTTATAACCTTTTAACTGTTTCTTGTTTGTATGTATATGAGAGCTACTGGATTTTGGTTACTGATTTTGTATTAAAATTTCATATTTTTGGTGATACTTTTCAATTGGATACAATCACATAATAGTCCATTACTGGAATATAAGATCCATATTCAAAGAAACATTTCAGTATCTTTTTTCATCAAGACCTAGTTTATAGTGGAACTCAATGAATACATCTTCAAATAGCAACAGTTTTGCCTCCTTCTTCCTAATTTTCAGGAACATTTTTCTTTCTCTTACCTATGTGCTAGTTCAGTGTAAAATGTGGCACAACCCAGAACAATAGTTATAAGAGGCACTCCTATCTGTTCTGGACTTTAGTGGAAATACCTTTAGTTTTCTGTTAAGCAAGAGGCCAGAATGGGGACTGAGATACAAATATATTTACATGTAAAGCACCTGTCCCTAGTCACATAATTTTATTTTAATCAAAAAGATGTTAGGACTCAGTAATCATGCAGCATCATGTATTTTGTTTTTTTCTCCTCAGATGTTTGTTTGTTTACTGTGCTGGGGACCAAACCCAGGACAAGCACTATAACAATTTACCTTCAATCCAGCCCACCTTAGATGTACTAATACAGTGAATTACATAGGTTATTTTAAAAATATCCAATACAGGGAAGGCCTTGCAGTCCTAGAACAAATTCTATTTGGTGATGGCAAATAATTCTTTTAATGTGATACCATCATTTGGCTTTCCTTACTGAAAACTAGATTCTGTTTGCTAATCTTTTATTTTAAAATGCTCATCAATATTAGTGAGTAAGATTGGTGTCTATTATTTTGGCTGGGATGGGGAGGGCTGCTGAGAATTTTGTCAGGCTTTGATATGAATGTTTTATTGCCACATCAAAAGAGACTTGGATGACTTTTCAAATTTTCTGTGCTATGGTAGA